ATTTTATTTATATTTTATTTATATTTATTTATATTATTATATTATATATATTATATAAACTCACAGTTTCCAGAAGGTTACAAATATTATGTCTCTTTGCTCTTCCAACTACAGACTTATTCCCTGTCCCCATTTGCTTTCAGAAGTCCACAAGTTGGAAACCATTCTGTCCTGCTTTGGAAAATGGCAGCTTTAATTCTATCTCTTCATGTTCCAAAGCAGGCAGTATTATTGCTTCCCACCATACATTTTATTTAACATACGTATATAAATAAATAAAAATCATATTAAAAATGCATAGAAGTGAGAGACTTGTCTAAGGACAAAATAAAGAGTCTAGGAAAGTCAAGTTTGGCTGCTTCCATTTAAACCAGAAGGGCAGAATGCTTTTTCTGTGGCTACACACAAAATTAATACACTGAAAAGTCCAAGCACAGGACCTATATTTAGCAAGACAAAATTTGCAATTTTAATGAATGAAAACCATTGTAATAATTTGTTATAATATACTTTAAATATAAGTTAAGTTTGTAAAGTTAAAGCTCGCACTTACCTCAGCTTGAAGTTCATCCAGGTCCCTTCAGAAAAGCAGGGTTGCTGCTGCACAGCTGTGCTGGTGCTGCTCTGCACTCAAGGGAGTGCTGCCAGGTGAGGAGAAGGGCAATTCTTCTGTTTCACAGCTCCATGGAACATGGCAAGCTGGACTGTTCTTCAGGAGGGACAAAAAGGCAGCCTCTTTTATTAATAATGAGGGTGATAACCTTAGGCACTGGTGCTGGGTGTACTGTCCTTCATCAGAATCACCAGTGGATATTGGACTGAGCTAGGTCCTTCAGGTTCTCTAGCACAGGCCTGCAACACACACTCCATGAAAAAATAATCGCCAGGTAAAAACTGGTGGGTTTTGGCATGTCTCATTTTCCTCAGTGACTTATCGCCCTCTGTTGTTACATCCGTGACACTGTACTGTGAGTTAAGCAAACGGCAGCTCGGCTCTCCCCTCGCTTTCTCGCTATGTCGTAGCACCGCTGCAGGTGCAGGGCAGAGACCTGCCGCTGGGACATACGATCATTAAACACTTTAAAAAGCAAGTGTTCCTTAGAGCAGCTTTGCTGTGAACCCATGGCTCGTGAAGAGCCTCCTCGGCATGGTGGGAACATCAGCTTTAACTCCCCCAGATCAGCGCTTCAAACCAATGTATTCAAGTGCTCTTCACATACAGTAGCCAAGTCCCTACAGCTTTTCTCCCAAATGCCAGTCACTGCTGGTGGTGCTTATATTTATGAGGGGCTCTTTGCTCCTCACTTTTGTGTCCTTTTTCTTCATATAAAATTCCCAATTTTGCCAGTTAAGCAAGTGACCTGAGCAGGAGCTGAGCCATTGGTGATCACAGCTGCTGACGGTGCTCTGATCACAACAATCGCTTGCACATGAAGAACTCAGCCTTGTGCCATGTCCTCATTCACCCCAGATATTTCGGTTCAAACCAAACCATGGTTTCTACAGATGTATCTGGAATTAATCCACAGACCTTCCCTCCCCCAGTGTTTCAGTGCATGAGCTTTTTCAATAATAAAATAGGAATAACACCGATTTCTGAGTTGGAAGAACAGAGTGTTCTCATGATCATTTATAATGAACATTTGTGAGATACTTGGATATATTTGTTATGACTGATACAGAAAACTGAAAACATAAATGGGGAGTGGATATCCTTTTTCAGGAGTTAGTTAGCCTGAAAATTATGTAGTAATTCTTAAAAGGAAGATCTGATTTGTTTAGTATGTGTTCTTTATACATCATGTTGTAATCAGCTTACAGTGCTACTAGGTGCATTTTTAATTATTTTGTGCAGGTCATTTAAAATAAGTCTGTATATCTAACTAAAGCCCACTAAAGTAAGCTGTAACCCTAGATCTTACCTGACAGGATAATGTGTGCCAGAATCTCTTGAAACAGAGCTGTATTATTTATGCTGTATGTGCCATGCATATGTATTGTGCTGTTAGCCAGAGCTATAGCTGGAGTCTCTCCACTCACCAGAAGTATTCCACATTTACAGCCAAACACGGAGAACAAGCATGTGCTCACTGTTCCCATTTTTAAAGCATGAGAATGCCCAGCACACTGTGTGCTGTGGTCTTGCCTGAGAGTGTCCCACAGCAAGAGCTGTAACATGGACAATTACCATGAGAATTGAAGAACAGTCATTTTCTTGCTTAAAATCATGAAACTGCCTTCGAATTCCATAGGTACCAACCTGAGGTGGCATTTAATTGTTAGTCTAAACAGAAAAGGTTTGATCAGCTGCCCACAATATCAAGCAGTTTTTCTATGAAACTCTACATCAGAGGAGTGCTCCAGGCAGCAGCCAGACTGTCTGTAAACATTCCAACTCTGCCCTCTACAATACACAGTCCTCAGACCAGAAGCAAAGCAGGTTGCTGAGGATGTACAGTGAATGTTCCTGGGAAAGTGAGTTAGCTTTTCCAAACTTCTTAATCCTGGGAGGAAAATGAGTGCCTGATTAACCAAGAGGCCTGCTCAGCCTGCCAGGGAATCACGTGTGCTGTTTGTCTTTATCCAAATGGCTGTAAAGTTTCACCATATTTTTCTTTTTGTAACAAAGCATGACAAAGAGGGGTCTGGGCAATCCTCATTGAGGTATTTCTTGTTTGTTTGTCATCCATTACTATTATCCAGAGCCAAAATCTAGACACCAAATCAAGTTTCTCTGTCTTCCATCATAATATATAAAATTCCCATCATTCTGTGGACATCAAACACTTCAAAATATACAAATACTTTAATACATACAAGTCTTCATAGTCCATTAAATATAATTAATTCCATGGTCTTCAAAATAGTCTATCACTGTATTAACTATAAGAAAAAGGTTTGCACTGGTATTTATATAGTATTGATTTGATCTGGCCTATGCAAAACCTTTCAGCACACTGAAGGAATTAAGAAGAGCAGCAATTCCACTAAAATCCAGAGCATTTGGGGTTAGAGCCAAACTAAGAAAAGATACTATCAGGAAATTATCAAGGGAGAATGATTACAGCTGCAGGAGTTAGCAGCAGGGTGTATAGCACATCCAGAGACACTACATTTGCTTCCCATTTAGATGGACTTCTGGCAAGCCCAGTGCATCCTGCTGGAGAATCACACTGAAATGCTCTGGTACAACACAGCATCCCACAATATGGGTGCAAGAGGAACAAGGAATTGTGGTGCAGCTTGACTACTGCAACCGATGTCTTCTTTTGACTTTTGATTCCCCAGGAAGCTGAATTAGATGATAAGAAGATCTATTACCTTTTTGCTTTCAAGTGGTAAACCTGTCTTCTCCTGTATCTCCAGCTGGTACCAAACTTATCAAGTGGAGATAATCAGATTGGTTTAGCTGATATCCTGCAGCTGGGACCATTCTCCTTCATGAACTGTTAACTCATGCTGTTGTAAAGCATGAATTCTATTTCTCAATGAAATCTTCACAAGAAAGATTTATAGCTTTGCAGAAAAGCAGCCCAGAGCCCTCAAATGTGCTTGAAAGAAAAATGCAAATCCAGCACTCTGATGCTTTGGGCTTTTAACCATGTGCATGGATTGTCTTGGAGCACAGTCCATCGAAAGAGGCATTAACACCAACCCGAAGTCAAAGAGGTTCCAGTAATCGTGGCTGGAGGGTAACTTTGATGTAGCAAGATGGAAATTGATCAATAAGAAATAAATATATATATATATACACATACATACATATTTAAGATATATACTATATAGAGTGCATATATATATATAGTGTATTGCATGTATGTATATATATGTGTTTTGTATAAAAAAGCTTCACATTCAAGTATAGATACATACTAAAATATAAAGAAAGGAGGACCTTTTGAAGTTAACCTGAAACAGAGAACCTATCATAAGCAGAATTCTTATTAAGATCATCAAGACATGTTTGCCCTAACTTCAAAATGAAAATGGTTAGTGAGAAACACAACCCAATGAAAAGAAAGAAAAAGGGAAAAAAAGTGATAATGGGAAAGGAGATGTAGTGTCAAATGCATCAGTATATACACAAATCCTTTACTTAAAATATCCCATACTTGGAAAGAACAAAAGCAATGTTTTAATTTGAATTCATAATATGGTCCCTCAGTTGTGGCTTTTTTGTAGTCATCATAGCCAAAGGAAAAAGACATTTGAATGACCAGAAGAAGAAGGGTTGAAAATCAAACTAGTACCATCAACCCTAAAAGGTAGTTCACAAACCTTGATATGAAATATGGCTCATGCAGCTTTGTTCTGCACCTAAAATACGAAATGTATCACAAGTAGAGAGAATATTGAATGGAAATTCTGAACCTCAATTAGCCCTGGATTGATTCAATGTCTAACCAGAAATTCTCTCAGTGGCCTTCATCTTCAGATTGTTGGAATTATTCTCACATAATCAGCGAGTAAATCACCCTGACTTTTACAAACAACAAAAATACTAAGTGTATCTAACTCTGTAAATCTACAAGTCATCATTTTTTGCTTGACAATACAGTACAATCTGGAACTGTGATCTGAAGTTTATGCAAAGAAGGCATGACAAAATACAGCCACAGTCAATAGGATGATGCCATTGACATTCACAACATTTCTCCAAAGTGGCACTTCGCTTGTGTCAGTCAGTTTCTTCTTCAACGCTTCCTCTTCCTCCTTGCTCAGTTTGGGTCCTTGTTGATCTAAGCCACAGAACCAGTTGTACACTTTCTTAAAGCATCCCGGTTCTTCCCTTTCCTCGTGAACTGGAAGGAGTAACACACTGATCATGAAATGGACCACTGCATGCACTAGAAGATCCCTGTGACTGAGGACATTCTTGTATTTAATACAGCAGTTCTGCTTTATGGTCAGAGTTACATGGAAACCTTTTAGTACAAGGCAGTACAGGAAACAAGTTAATACTGTGTTTTCACAGCTCATCTGGAAAAAGTGATCTTCCATATGTTGCAAGAGAGCAGTGTGCAGAAGACATTTGCACCTTTTGCAGCCTAGAGACTTGGTTTGGTACTGGAGGAGCAAACTGTGCTGCAAAGCTTGAACTCATTTTTATCAATACTTGCTACGCTTTTAATTAAAAGGCATATAGATGAATTTGAGAATAGTTACAAAAAGGAATGTGGGAGCAGAACCACAAACCAGCTAAGAGAGCAGGTGGTTTTGCCCAGATGGATGTCTGGCAGTTCACTTTCATGATGCCTTGCACCAGATCTTTGCTCCTTCAATTCTGGCTACTGTTTTCAAGTGAATTCTCATTGTTTCATTCCAAGTGCTGGAGTTATGGGCAGTTCTGCCAATACACACCACCTCTGACCTAAAGCATTGGTTTAGTCCAGCACTGTCACCTAGCTACCTAGAGAGCAAGATTTTCTCCCTTCAAGTCCACTTCACTTCTGATTTACACTAGGCTTGACAGATTGCTAAAAGGCAGCTTACTAGGCATTTAAATATGTGGGGTTTGCAGTATTGTTGTCAGGGCAGCGGGGGAAGATGTCTTTGAATATCAAGCATGCTAATGTTTCTTCAGGAATGAAATAGGGTTAAGCAAATATATTGATAGAATCTCTAAACATTCAGCAGTTACCTGATTCCTCATCCTTTTCATCAGCTTTGATCTCCTCCTCATCTGCATCAAGATCGATACGTTCTTCTTTGCTGTTCCGTAAAGACCAGCACAAGCGGTGAAGCTGCCATGAAACAAATGAGTTTATGGATTTCTACACAGGGACAAACCAGCCTGGCCAGCACATGAGCAAGACCGTGGCATTCCAAATGTTTGTTAAGTCAATGTCTAAGATTATTAGGAGTTACTGAAGATTTGTGACAGAGAAATGAAGACTAGTTCATTTGCTTTCTTACACGGAGTACGTGATGTGGGCAGCTGAGATGTCAGGAAGTAATATACCAAATACCAGCGTTTAAACCTTGCGGTTTCATTGAGTTCCATTTCTTGAAGAGCAAGACTGCAGTAATACTCACGTGTACATCAGGGATGGGTTTAGTCATGAAGGAGACTGCCAGGATAACGATGGCAGAAACCCCAAAAAGGATGATTGCAAAGTAAAGGTAGTGAATCCCACAGATGATGAACGGGCATTTGGAAGGGGTCACACAGTTGCCAGTTCCGTAGGCAAACTCTGCAATCATTCTACTGAGTCCAGCTAACAGCCCAACCATCAGGCCCCAGAAGGCACCCTGCAGACAAGGCGACAGAATTTACCAAAATAAGTAATTTCAGGCAAATGGAAATAACCTCTAAGCTCTGAATAGCTGCTGAAGGAGACATGGAGGTAGTTATGTGTGAAGTTGGCTTTGGCACATGGGCTTTAACCCAGATACTTTCAGTGATCGTATTTGCAGCTCAGTGTATTAATACAACTGAAAGGGGCAATGATCAGCCACTTAGAGAATGAACATGGAGGACACCTTATTCAGCTCATTTCTCAAAGTTCATCTGTCTCCACACAATGCACTCCTACAGGGCAGGCTCCAGCCACAGAATACATATCCTAGGGGTTGTTCTCGTATCATTTTACCTTTGAGGGCTGAATCCCTGACAGTTCTAGCATGATGGAATCAGCTAGTGTGTATGTGTGATTCCTCTTAAATACGGGTCTGGTTTATCTTCTCATGACCGTACCAGCAATTAGTTACAAGTTAATTCTCTATACTTTTGGTGGATGTTTTGCTGCTAGTTATATGTTACTGCAGCCACAAGTATAAAAGACACACAAGTATGTCTGGACACAAATTGAAATATGGGATATTCTATTTAAACAGGAGGGGTTTTTTGTTACACTGGAAGGATGACTGAACATGGAACAGGTTGCCTAGAAACGTTGTAGAGTCTCCATCCCTGGAGATATTCAAAACCCAACTGGAGAGGACCTGAGCATCCTGCTCTTGTTAGCCCTGCTTTGAGTAGCTGGGGTTGCACAAGTACAGAGGTACCTTCCAATCTCAACCATTCTCAGAGTTTATGAACTCAAAAAACTTATGATGGCAACACAAATTTATAAATCTTGATTAAAAATGTTCTAGGTTTGATACTGGATTTACAAACAGAACAGTTTTATTACGCAGTGGTCAAAGATACAAAAAGGTTTGGAGTAGGACAAGCTAGTTACTTCTATTTCTGGCAGAAAGAATGATTCTGAGCAAGAAATGTTGATAAATCTTATAAGTAATTACAGTATTTGAGCTTATCTTATGCAAGGCTCCAATTCTCAGAAGCTTTGATGCTTGTCTCCATATTTACCCAAATTTAAATTGTGCAGGGTATACAAATCCCCAAGGATTATACTTGAATTCTTACTCAGGTAAAATTCCAGCTAAAGTCAATGACAGTTTTCCATGAAATACACAAAGATCTAATCAATTTGTGAGGTTTAGCCATATTAGGATAGGAAATGGAACATCCCTTCTGTGTAAAATAGGCTTTTCTTGGATATACACAAAAAAAACCACTGAACTGGACACAAGAGGCAATAGTGAGAAAAGTTTGAGCCCTATTTGAAAACTTGCTCTCTCAAGGCTTTGTTGTTGAACTCACCTCCTTAGAGCAAAACTGAGCAATAGGCAAGTATTGTTATTCTTAGTATTACAGGAGAGAAACTGAATTCCTAAGTGTTGAGTTTTCAGAATGTCTGAGACCTCAGTTACCACGATTGGCCTATGGTCCTATTAAAGCATGTGACAGACCTCATGCCCTTCTGAATGACTTACAAAAGCTCAAGTACAATATTTCCCAGTTCACTGCTCTATGAATCAAAATCAGTTATTCTCAGACTAGGTCCTAAAAGCAGTGGGAAACAACGCATTAAACACCAGCAAGTTTGTTTAAAAGAGCATTGACAAAATATATAGTGGTCCAGAGGAAGGTGAAAGGTGATACGTATAGTAAAGCAGTTTGTGACCAATACTCTAAGAGATTATTTTCAAATATGTCTCCATAAATTATCCATTTCACATACTTCTTGGCAAAGTGATAGGCAACCTAAGTTTCAGAGCTATCTAGGAATTCCTAGGTGACTGTTTCTGTATCAGATTAGCAAGGAACTTTTTCAAACTCATCTCTGAAACCTCAGGTCCTGGGGTGTGGAAACAGAATCTCTGGACTATAATAGGATCAAAATAAACAGGAAGAAGTTGCTAATAGAAGACACTAAACCAAAACAGGCAGTTCTCACACTGCCTAAAGGATTCCTGCTTCCTAATTTGTACTTACCGGCTCATTGACCCGCTTACAGAAGATGGCAAGCAGGAAGAGAGCAGCAATGGGAGGTCCTAGGTAGCTAGTAACTGACTGAATATAATCGAAGAGCTGCCCACTTTGAGCCGACTGCACCACAGGAACCCAGGCGATACTGATGCCAATTAAAACTAACATAAACGACCTGCAAACACAGCCAGATATTCAATTAGTCACCTGCTTAGAAGCATCTATCAGAAAGAAAAAAGCAGCAATTAATAATTTAAATGTTCATTTCGTATTTCAACCAGCAAAATCAATTGTAATGGCCAGCGTGCACTGAACAAACCAAAGAAATCCAACTTGGATAGTGTCTGTCAACTGTCTGTCAGCACACAGCTACCTGTGCGATCAAAGCATAGAAATCACTTTTTTCCTTTGTTTGTTATGTCCAGAGACAAAACAATAGCGGATCAACTAGAGGAACTAGTTCATTGATGCTGTAGCATGGTGTAGCATAAAGCCTATGAAGATAGCTCAAAGGAGTTCCCTTTGAACAGCAGTAGGAAATGCTGAGAATTACTTTAGCTACTTCATACACCACGGTCAATTAAATTGGAAGCAAGGGCGGGATTTCCGCCAGGAAAGGGTGTGGTGGGACAGCCTGTCTGGCCACAGGAGGGCACTGCTGCACTGCCCGCACCCTGCAGGGGCAGGTTTCCACCCAGGCCCTCAGTCCATGCCTAGGAGGCGCAGCCTGTGATGCATCTAGTGCTCGCTGGTTGTACAGCTGCACTTACCTTCCTGCTAACATAAGCTCTTTCTCAGATGGTCGTGTTCGAATCTTCGTGTAAATGTCCATAGTGAAGAGAGTACTAGCACTGTTGAAAATGGAAGTCAGGGAGCTCATAAGGGAGGCCAACATGACTGACAACATCAGACCCCGCAGACCTGCAGAACAAAGACATATGAACTGGGCTGAGCATTCTGAGAGGGTCTCAGTACGTGGCACTATCCACAGGCTTGTGTGGCCCTTTCAAGCCAGCCAGCTCTGAGTGTGTCTGGCACATTCGTGTGCTGATGCCTGCCTGACATTCTCTCACACTGCAAGCAGAGTAATGTCTGCTGAGCTTTGGAAAAGCTGTTTACAGCAGTGACAGGGCAGCTCGTGAGCTTTTAAAGCATAGGTACTTGTTTTGTGAATGCTGTCTGATGAAGTGCTGAAATAAAAAGAAACAAAAAATACTAAGCAGACTGTCCCCTACAGTTGTAGAAACAATTTCTCTTGTTTGCAGGCAAGTATTCACTTGCTTGCAGTACATTTATAAACCAGTTGTTTGGCAAAAAGAAGTTTCTTTTAGTGTTTCAAAATCAGAGTAAGCCAGTTTTCCAGATGGCACGATCTAGTGAACACTGTGAGGAATTACTGTAGTATTTTAATAATCCTGTGTACAACAGTTATAATACAACAGCAGAGTGCTGAAGATATCAGGGAAGTAACATGGTGTGTATAATATCCTAATCTGTCTTTGTAGCCTTCTGAACCAGCTCTCTGGTTTTCTGCAGAAATTCATCTTCTACATGCACCTCGTGGTGCCTTGTTCTCTCATTGAACAGGTGTCCTGTGGGACAATGTGTACCTGGAATATTTTCTCCTCCTACCTCAGTGAGTTTAGCGGAAGGACTGCAGGTGCATGCCTCCAACTTAGAAACCCTGGCAGAGACAGTTTCTATAAATCATTGGCCAAGGAGGTTATGTTTTACCTTCACAGAAAGGGAGCTCAATTCCCCTTTCAACACCGAGTATTTGTCAGCTGAAAGCTGTCATCATCAGCATGTAGCCATTCTGCCCCTACAGCTACAACTAATACAGGCTACCCCTTTGATAACAGTACATAATTCTAGCAAGAATTTGGGAACTAAATATGGGACATGGGCTCTTCTACCACCTGGTTTTACAGTCTGTCAGCCTCACCTTTCCTAAAATGAACTCACAAACAGAGGCAGTATCCTACCGTTTGGCATAAGCTCCACTACCATCTTTGGATAAGCAATGTTTGTACAGCCAACTGCAGTGCCACAGGACTGCTGACAGATTTCAGGCACAACACAAGCCACCACATCTGAGGAGAGGATAATGAGACAGGGTTAGACAAAGTCATATAAACAACATATTGCTCCCAAATTAGTAGAGCTTCCAAAATTTATCTCTGTGTTGAATCACAGAATTGACATGCTTGATATCATCCTTGGTCTGCTGGCAACAAGGAAGGCGACTCTAAGCTTCTGTCTTTCCTCTCTAAAAGAATACTGAAAAGTGCTTCAGGTCAACAAATCAGCATTGATTTGTCAGAGCAGAACTGAACAACACAAGGAGAGCAAGTAGAAAAACAAGCCAAGGAACACAAATACCTCTCCCTCCGACCTGAACATCTCTCTTCTGCCTGCTGTTTTAAACACACTGATGGTTAGAGAGAGGAGAGATGGGCCTTTCCTCCATGCTGCACTCAGGGCTGTCTGTGGCCCAAAGGGTTGCTGTCTGTGACTGATGATGCTCTTCCTCTGACTGCCAGCAGAGTACCAGTCCTGGAAAGCATTTTCCACTATTCAGCCAGAGTGGGCTCTAACAAACAGATAACTGGGGAGAGACACTGGAATTTCTCTCCCCTAAAACAGACAGCAGTAAGATTAACAGAAACCTGGTATCAGGGAAAAGAGGCTTCTTACAGTGTAATTAGTCTTCATGTATACATGTGCCTGGACAATTTGGATGACAAGATGATAATCTAACAGGTTTTTTGGAAGGGACAGAGAATAGGCAATTGAGATTGGCAGTTGAAAGACAGGCAGCGAGAGGAAATTTGCACTTCCATGTGCAGATGCATACCTGTATACAGAATTCGGCTGATCATTCCAGGCATCACTATGATAAACATGGGCAAGAGTTTCAGGTATCCACACATGATACAACCAGCCTTCACATGGGACATGTTCTTGCCAGAGAGACATCTTTGGACAATAACCTGTCAATGAGACATGGCAAGCATGACTCCACCAAGAGAAGCATTCCATGAACACATCCTGCCAAGTTCCAGGAACAAGGTGCTTCCTAACCTCTGTGGTAGTGAAAGAGCCTATGTACTGTTTCTGTCACTAGGAAAAGTAAAAACTACATGAAAATCTAAGAGTATATCTGAAATAAGTAAAGGTTGTAGGGAGAAGGGAGGAAGATTGAGGAAGAGTGTCCAGACTGAAAGACCTGACATATAAAGAACATCCTCCCAAGACTGTGCATGCAAAGATGAAGCTGCACAAACAGGAAACAAATTAGTATTACTGAATGGGGAATCATATCTAGACCCACTCTAACAGGGATCATTTGATGCATGGTTTCCTAAGCTAATGTTCACATTACAACCTCTCTGTGGTTTTACATATGGTCACACACAAAAAGCAAGACAGGAATTATACACAGTACCTGCTGGGCACAGTGTATAAGAAGAATTGAAAGAACACCCGTTCCATTTTCTCACATGCAGGAAGGGTTTAGAAACCAGAAACTAAAAAGCCACTGACCAGTTCTGAAATAACTGCCATTTGTGTGAGCCAGCTGTGAATCACAGTGGGGAAGGAGCACCCCTGGGTCACACCAGACTGCAGAGTTTTGTGTTCAGCTTTTCCAAGGCAGGTGGCTTCCACATTACCTGATCTGTGCACCAGTACCACAGAGCAATGATGCTCAAACCAAAGATGACCCCTGGCCATGGCAGATCTCCAGTGACGGCATCTCGGAAGATGTGAAAGGAATCCTTCCGAGGGGTGTAGCATTCTGGATCTATTGTAGTATTCCCATAGGAGACATTGGATGGAATTGCTTCCATGTACTTCTGCATGAAAGCATCATACCCTCCTACTTCAGCAAATGCTGAAAAACAGAAAGTGAAAGTAGTGATCAAGTATTTAATTCTGAAATCTCAAATAGAGCTAGAGAAAGTGAGGAGAAAACCCTCCTGAATATGGCTGTACAGAACCCCTAGCCAGCACACAGCAACCTTTTCAGGAACCAGCATACAGTGTTTGTAAGCACTCACACAGTCTAAGTACCCAAGTGACCTTTCTTTTTAGGTTTCTGCATAACTTGCAAGTGTTGGGTTAGGCTCCACTGTGTCAACATTTCTTATACATGCTTTGCCAAGAAATGAAATGACCATATGTTATTTCCACACACTGTTAACCTAGGGAGAACCTAAGGTAGGGTCTTACCAGGTTAGGTCAGTTTGAAGTTTCTTCTGTTTGTAACAGTGGTGGAATAATTTAATTTCTGTGAAAGATCTAGCTAGAGGAAAACCAAGTGCTGAGTAACTAGAAGATAGGGAAAGGACACTAGGAATTCTTGGAATCTTATCACTACTTCTTTCTTTCTTATAATCCTTTCTATCAATTCTGTTTTAACAGCATGATTTCTGTTGTAAAAAGTGTATGGACTTCTGGACACACACTGTGCTATTCATAAACATTCAGTTCATATCTTCTGTCCAGCTGGCAATATAATGACATCCACAGATCAACTACAAGGCTTATTTAAAATGTTAATATGTCTGCTTTATTTTTAACACAGGCTAGCAGATGGAAAGAAGCTAAAAAACATGCAATGGGACCAACAGCTTTTCACTTTGAATCAGAAATTTTCATGCATTAGCATCTGAATATCTACGAAATTATAATCGACTTAAAACAAGAAACTCTCTGAACTTCTCAAGAGTATCATTATCACCTGCAAACAACTCTGCTTTTACCTCATTAGCCATCAACAAGCCCTGTTCTGTCATGGGATGCCAGTTATTACCTTACGCATTCACGTGTGCTTTGGAGATGGAGTGGTCTCAGTGGCTAAAGGGCTTGGCAATATGCCTAATTTTTAGCAATGTGCCTATTTTCTTCCTTGACAAATAGGAATAAGCACTGAAATCTGCTGGTTAAGATAACAAAGTTCCACACTGCAGGATCCATTTCCTTAGCCACTGTGGGATTTGTGGTTGAACATTCAATTTTAATTCATCTGATTTACTTACCAAATCCCATGAGAATAAAGGATCCCACTATCATGATAAATGTTTGTAAGGTGTCAGTGTAAATCACAGCTGCAAGGCCACCTAATGGCAAAGAAAATGCAAGACAAAGATTAGTCCCTGTGGAAATGCCTCAGTGGAAGTCCTGTTTTTTTAATTTTCTCACCACCTCTCTCTTTTAAACGAAGGCCACTGTAAATAACTTCCCTTCCAGGCTTTCATTCGTCCCCTCTTACCCCACTCTCCTCTTCTCTTTTTTCTCTCTCCCCTAACTTCTTTATCAGACTGCTCTGCAAACTCACCTGTGATGGTATAAAGAGCTGTAATAGCAAGCAGGATAATTATGGCCAAATAAAGATTCAGCCCTAGGGCCAGGTGTATAAATACAGCTCCAGAGAATATGTCTGCCTATAAAAGAAAAAATTATAGCTTAAGCAGTGTTTCAATTTTTGAAGATGATGTATTACACACTCACGATGAGGGTACTGAAATACATAGATCCCTTATAGTACTGCTTATACCCCCAGAAAGAATTAAAATGAAAATAAGAGGCCATTTTAGTACAACTGCCAGTCTCCTCTCAGTGCTTTCAGTACAAGAGTTGCAACAATTCTCAAAGAATTTCCAGGTCTTTTTCAATGGATCATTTCGGCTGGACACAGAGTCACCTCACTACTCTGTGCTTACATACTGAGAGACAGCTTAATAACCAATTACTTAAAACTGAGGTTACACTTGCTCTGTGCAGGAATGGACTCTGACATCTCCAAGACACAGCATGGTTCTCTTCATGTAATGCTACTCTGTAAGTCACTTATTTTTGCTTTATTGCTTGCACACATATGGAATAGCTTGTCTTGCAGGTTCAGGACAAATGTGCATTTACTTTAAAGGCAAACGTACCTCTAGTTTTAAGTTCCTGTCAGAATAACTGACATCAGTTGGCTAACAGAAGAGACCTTTAGCACTTGCATAAGAAAGGAATTGTTCAGGTTTCAGAGCAACACCCTGGGATTTTCATCACATTAAATCAGTTCCTGATTTAGAGATAATTTGCATTAATGTTATATACCCAAGTCTGCAATCAAAATAATCTAGTCCAGTGCGCTTGTAATGCATTACTGTAAATTGTGCTTTCATTTGAGTTTGCATCTGGACCAATCCTTTCTCCTGAGCATCCAGGTCCTGGGCTCATCTCTAATCCCACCTGCATGTCTCCTTCCTGTATACCACACCACCTATACAGGACTTTGTACAGGGAATCCTATCTCCATTAGTCAGTACAAGTCAGCATTCAGTGACCTCAGGAGCTGCAAAATGTCCATGTGCAGGGTTTGAGAAACAGAGATAAACAGCACCACATGTGCCCTGGGGTCAAGCCTGCACACAAAACCGCTGCAGGGCAGCTGCTAGTGGAGCTTGGTGGAGGACCAGGAGTTCCACAGGTCAGGCTGCGGGCAGCCAGAGCCTGTGATCACAGAACAGGCACTGGCACCACTTTTGTCCACAGCTAGGCTGAGGTAAGGCAGGGCACATACACTCATAAGCAGTTATGTAGTCTGGCTAGCTGGGAGATGTCTTCTTCATTCCAGAGGCACTGAAACAGAGACTAGGGGGTATGATCACACCCTCAGTTCACTCTGAAGAATGAGGAAGAGGTGAGGACCTCTGCAGCAAGAGATTCTCCAATCCTACTGCCTTCACATGCAGAAAGCAACATGAAGCAGAGTGTGAATCACAACAGAGGTTCTTCTCCCAAAACTCTGCCTCTGGAGCATCTTGGGATTATTTGATTTCTTATAGTTCTGGGAACCATGACTTCTAGCTCTTATCCTCAGTGGCTGTTAGACCATATCCTTTGTCCCTTCTCTCTACTGTATTAACTTTCTTCCTATCTTTTCACACCATCGATCAGCTTGTGTCCCAGATAATTATTTTTTTTTATTGTTCTTAGCTTTAGTTTAGCCTAAATATCATTAAATTTTAATGGTCCTAAAATGGCCCCCCAGAAAGAAATGTATAGTTAATTATTTAGCATCCTGAACAATATAACAGCTCCTCTAAATTGCTGAGTTACCTTCGAACTTCACTGTTCCTCCTTCCCAATTAGATTATTGCCTTCCAATATTTCCTTGTTTCTCCATTTATACTTTTTTATGGACACTATTTAATCTTTATCTTATCTCTGAATAGAGTAAATCTTTCCTTTGTACTATCTCTCCAAAACCATGTACAGATCATGCAGGAACAACTGGCAGAACACGTGTCAACTGAGTGAATCCAGCTGCAATGCTAATGTGGGAGTCAAGACAGTGGCACATGTTATCTTTACCCCCTACACCATGCAGCCCTAAGAAAGAGAGTTATCCTTCCCCTTCCTCTTCCTCCTGGTAAGTCTATGCCCATACATTTACTACTGAAATTATGCACAATGAATGTGAAGAAAATGCTGCAACACATTTAGAAATCCAAGTTTGCAGTTTCTGATTTCTGCAAAAGCTTTCAGATCTTAATTCCCTTCTGGTTTGTCATAATTTAGTCAATTACTCTCTATCAAGACTTTATTTTTACTAGGCCATTTTTTTTGGCATAATGACTAATTGACTGATAACAGCAACACTAGTTGCTAGCAAGGCCCTGAGAGCTGCTGCTTGCACTGCTCACAAAGCACTGCATGCTTAGGATGCGCCTACATGCAAGGTGCCTGTGCAACAGAAATGCTTTAGGCTCAAAGATCTTGTGTGTCCTGACCCCAAAGATCAACACCTTGCAGCATGATCTTGTCTGGCAAGTGCCTGATTAGCCACAAAACAAGGCAAGAAATCAACAAAAAATACACAGAAAATGTGCAGGAAAAGAGAAATGGTGCGCAAAGGGAATCTGATTATCACATGGTGGTGGGCACTGTGCCAGGAAGAGCATGCCAGGACTCAGGCAACCTGACACAGTCTATTGTTCATTGGAAAGCACAGTAATAATTATATTATTAAGAATATTATATAATATTTCAACATATCAAAGCAGCATGTGAAATACCTGCCCCAGGAAGAAGATGCCATTCTTCTACAAGGATAAACGGCAGTGCGTATCACTGCCAAACTGATAGGTGTGACTGCCCATTAAGGGCAGGGCAGAAACCCATCCTTCTATACCAATTCTCAGTAAGCCCTGAAGATCACAAGGCAGTGTTTGCAAAGGCAGCAGCCAAGGAAGTAAGATGCAAATTTCTAAGCTGACTATGGCGTGGATTGTCAACATGTGTGTACGTTCAGATACACAGTGTGCCTCTGGGAAGAGGCACCTGTGCTAGCTTCACAGGGCATGCATATCTCTACACAGCACAAAGAAGTTAGCTATGGTCCAGGGTGGAACAGCCTTTCCCTTTCTGCTTCTGGAGCTGGATCATCTGGAGACAATTTGGGCCTGGTGTTGCATAGCGTGATACAGAAACACATACTCTGACATCCTCTGACAGTATCTGAAACCTCCAAGGACTTTGACTGTTGTGCTTTTTCTGAATAAGATATAGCAGGTAAATCAGACTTGGGTGAACCCTGCACTACGAAATAGAGCGACATAAGACAACAGAGCAGAAGACATGTTTGTATAGTACAGAAACCTGAGCCACATTTGTACATGGGACAGACACTGTCAGAGCTGTTCTGGGCAGATGGGGGAAGCTAGAAACGGTTAGAGGAATTTGTGCGCCAGATTTTCCCCCCGCATGGCACAGAGCTCCATCCCCATGGCAATTCCTGAAGAACATCTGGAATAATTGGGTTGACGGGAAGCTGGGATAGGCCCAGGTAATCTGCTGCTGTATGGATCTCTTGACTATTGCTTTGCTTCCTAGTAAGACAGGACCACAGGAGCAGGAGGGGGTTCTTTGGCCTCATGACCACATTGGAAGCAAGGCCAAGGCACTCCAACTGAAATGGGGTGAAATGCCATGACCAGACCCCTAGGTGTGATAGAGGCTGGAAATAAAAGATAGATAGCTAATTCAGAACCTGTGTAACACCTTGATGGCTCATTATAAACATGTGTTGCAGAATAGCACTTTGAGTCATCTGACTGGAAGAGCTTCTTGGCTGCTAGAGCTGCCAGAACTCTATGTCATACCTGGGATTTCTGATTACGGTAGTTAAGCACTACAGCAGCAAATTAACAACTTCACAGTACCAACCTGTTTAATTTATAACCTTTCTAAGGATCAGCTATCGTGAAGATGTGAGAATGAGAGCAAAAGGCCAATCTTTTAGGTTAAATTGCACTATTATCACTCAGCTCCCATGCAGAGGGCAAAGAGTAATCTGCCATGGCAACTTCTGAAAAACAACAGATTGAGGTATGCCTGAACTGTGGACTTCTTTAGAGGCTTGGTAGTTTCCAGATATATGGAAAATACCAGTCCCTTCACTGCTTCACAGCAATACAACCACTTACTTCATAAACATTAACTTCATAGCACCTTAAACTTTATACCAACCACTTGCTCAGGAAAAGAAACTCTCCTCTCTTCTCCTTTCACCTCAGCTGTTATAATTGTCCTCCTTCCCATTTCCCTACTCCTTTGTTTTCTAATTCCTATTATTCTTTTATTCTCCATAGCCCTCTTGCTCTTTTCCCTCAACTGCATTCATGATGGCATGTTCACCAGAGGATGCTAAACCAGATAAATATGAAGTCTGGGGACAAAAAAATCCTGCTGTATGTTTCAGGGATCCCTAGAATCATAGACTGTAATACAAGTTTCCCTCCACTCTGACTTGTTCTATAGGAGAACATAAGTACAAGTAAACCTTAAAACCTGAAAAAGAAAGAGCACAAGAAGCATCTGGAGACATTGCCAATTCAACCAAGGGCTCCAAATCAGAAACAACTGACCAGTTGTGTGAGCAATGTTGTAAATGGGAGTTTCTTTTCTTTAGATCAATGTAGGATGGAAGAAATGCTACAGAAGTTTTACTTACTGAGATCTTTGTGAAAATATACAGGATCAGTGAAAGGACTGACAGGTAAACCTGAATCCGTTTCCCACCAAAACGCTTCTTCAGATACTCTGGCATTGTCACCACCTGCAGGGGAGGAGTTGAGGTTTCAGGTAATGGGGAACACACATAAAGCAAATTAGAAGTTTTTTGCTACTCAGACACTAAGAGTGGAGCTCAAAGGGAGAAGAGCTGCAAATGCAGTTGCAAGGAAGTGTAGCTCTGGGAGTCACAGGAGAACACGGAAAGAGTACCACATACTTCTCAGCTCAGATCTCTGAACAGACTCCTTACTTTTCAAATATATACACACATAGTACAGTTCTAGTATACTGGGATCTCTTGCCATTCATAATGGCTTTGCAACATTCCAGAACTGATCCACAAACACGAGCAGCAAAGAAAAGCATACTGTTTTGACTTACCCCAGCTTTGATGTAGATGGGTACAAACAGCCATCCTAGAACAACCACAAATATCAGAGCCTGCAGCCAAGACAAGATCAGCTGAATTAGTCTCCTCTCTCTAGCTAGTACTTCCAAAGCCTATTTATCAGGCCTAGTAGCAGCTAGAGACCATTGAAACCACATAAACCTGTCTGTTGTGGGGGTGAGCTGGGAAATATTAAGGAAGGTTAAGTCTGCTACCTGAGACCTATTTACTAGCATCTTGATCTCAGAGCCACTAACGCAGGATACCTTCCCACCCAGAATCAAGTATGCTGCAATGGTGTGTTGTGACATCTGAAAATCTAGGTACTGGTGAGAGTAGTACTTCTTTTGGTTATTATTGTGATCATTAACTGCCTTCTGCACTGGTCTCTCTGGATGGCTGTATGTTTCACAACAACCCCACGTACTGTACAGGATCTGCCACATGCATTTTGTGAAATATTTTGTATTCCCACATTACCTTTTCATAATATATTTTGTGTCACCAGGTGTATTTTGTGAATTGTAGATCTTACTGTATTGCAGTGTCACAGTTTTCCGACTTATATGGCTAGCAACTGCTTGTCTGATACAGAGTCGTACAGATTTAAATGGACAAATCTAGAACAAAATCCTGCTCTCAGAGTTGCACTCTGCATTATGCTGTCCATGAGGCTTAAAGGGCTTTTTTAACTATATCTTTTAAGTTTTGCCCTTAGATCAAGACTGTAAGATGGACAAGAAATACTGGGTCAGCTTCTGCTGTCACACTAACACAAATCAGAAATAATTTCAGTGGAATAACAGTGATACATAAGGCGGTAACAGTCAAACTTAGTATTTCTTTTCAGAGGAGAATCACATTATACAATCAAGAGCAATATTTGCACCATATCTATTAATCTGTACGCCAGTTCCACCGTAAGTAATAAAACTTAAAAAAAAGTCTTAAGTAATGAATTATGCAGTGTATCTGCTCAAATACACACATGCATCATTGCTTCTTCCTAAACAACAATTGTAGTACACTGTGTATTGATATTAGTCCACAGACAATCTCCTGGGAGATGAAGTGTTAGAGGTAGGTATGTTTGACGAAGGATATGGGTCCTAAAGCTTTGAATACCATGAAATTCTGAGCAATGCTTTTTCTGTTTTGTTTTGCTTAGTTTTGGTACAAAGAGAAGGGAAACCAGGTTTGGTACGGAATTAGTGTAATCAAATAACAAAAGATGACAGATTAACTGTGCACATCTCTTAGAGTTCATTTTAGCCTTTATCCTTCTCCTTAAATATTTATATCGTACAAGTACTTGATTATTTGTAGCAACCATCTACTTGCTAAGGGAAAAAGCCAAATCCCTGAGGGTGGTATGCATCTTTCCCTGTGTAGAATTAAATGCAAGGGAAGTATCGACCTATGTATGCTCATTAAATTCTTTGTGCCATGCTAATCCCTTCCGTGCAGCTGAATTAAGCAGAACAAGGGCATTATTACCCACACCCACAGTGCTTGAGAATACAAGGAATGGACTGAATCAGCTCATGTAAACCTCCATGCTGTTGCAGTTAACACCACTGCTGGTACCCCAAGTAGTTAAGATAAAGTCAGCTTTGATATCTCTACCCTAGTCTGCAACCATAAGCAAAACACACATAATTAAAGGAAGGTGAAACTAAAGAGGAAAAGATTTTTTGAATGCAGGTGGTTGCGAAGGATGCGTAAGGTTTCTTACAGCCTGTGACGAAATCGGAGCCCCTTCAACAATTCTACACAGCAAAGTGCTGTAAAAAATACTGTGGATTACAAAACTGATAAGCTCTGCCCAACATCCTGCAGTCTGAAAGTGCTCTTTACAAATACTTTAAAAGTTACCGAAAGATACGCATAGAGAAGAGAATCCACTGATTCATTTGGATCAAACACTCTCTAAAAAGCCTCCTTCAACAGAAAAGGGACATTTTTCCCCAGTGGCTTGAACAAGGACCAAGGAGGATGAGCTAAATAGTAGATTACATTGTCACTTACTAGTTTGTACAGCAAACAAGTGTTGCCAAATGCAAAGTTGGACAGCCTAAATTATTAGTCAATGTTATTTTGATTAACCTCAGCAGAAAATCTGATGTCACAAATATGTTTGTTTAAATGCATGCCACTTACATTCCATTCATATCCTCCGATGGCAATTCCTCCATGTGCTGCTGTTCCTGCTATTCCCACAAAATGTCCACTGCCAATGTTACTGGCAAATAGAGAAGCACCAATCTAGAAACAGAAAGAACAATATTTGGCTCTTAGGTCCTGCTCATGGTAACTTGAAAAAATCACATTCATTTGGCATTTTGAACTCACGCCCATCTGTCATCAAAGGGTGATGATAAGAATGATTGACAACTAACTTTCTTGACAACTTTCAAGACTCTCTCTTACTGTTCCCCCTCAAACCTGACACTCTAACCATCATATTTACAACGATGAGAAAAAATAGGATGTTGCATAGGACTTCTTCCAGCTGAATTAAATGGTTTATTACATAAATATAGATTTTTAAATATTTGCAAAATTTGACTGACATTTGGATGATATCCAAAGAATTAGGAAAGACTGTGATCTGTCTTTCTCAAGTAGGAAACCATAAGTGCATATCCACTTGTCAAACTGGCACTCGCTATTTCATATTCCACAGTCTGTGGAGCTAAATGTATTACTGGTGAGAGCTGAACAGACTTGGTACTTGGTTCACTTTCAGTCAAAAAATATGCAATTCCTGAGTTCAATTCTGAAAGCTGCATGGGAGAAATATCTGCTGAGAAAGTGCTTCTGGAAGATACAAACACCAGCAGATCAAGGAGTTCTGTTTAAGAAGTGCTGGATCTCCAAGAACCCAAATATTAGGCATTGCTGAACGGGGAGAGATTCAACAAAAAAGAGCAGTTTATGCTGGATTACAGATGGGGAGGAGTCATTCACAGAAGAAAGTGTGTCAAAAGATCTAATTCTCTATCAAACAGCTCAGGCAATACAAAAGATAAAGAGAAAAGGTAGGAGCTTCATTTCCTCAAAATGAAACTCTTAAAGGCAGAAGAAATGCCTAACAATGATTTACAGGGTCAGACACTGAGGGATGCAGGGTGAGAATTCAAGCATGAAAAAGAGGCTGGACTGGGTATTGTGAGCAGAAGACATATGAGCTGGAGTAGTTCTGAGATGAAAAGAGGCGAGTGAATGTTTTTTTTATTCACTTCTATCTTTCCTTTATATCTTCTGAAAGCTATGAAGAAAAAAGATAAATAGGGTTAAAAATCAAAGAAAAGGCAGTAGGCAAAAGAACCTCTGCTGACCAGCTTCATTTGAGGTAGATCTCTCATGTTGAAAGATCCCAAGGTGCTTAAAAATAGGTTTTTTAGACGTAGGAATGCAGAAGCTGCATCCAGCACATTCTTATATAGTTTCCAAGCGCAGGTGGTTGGAATATGTTTTGAGTCACCGTACAAAAGGGAGAAATATTCCTTGTCTGCAATTCACTGGGAGATTTTTAGGGTCCTAAAATATATATAAAGCGAATAGTTAAAAATTTCCAGGTCTACAGTCACTGCAGTGAGTTCTTTCAGTAGCAGTAAAAATCAGTTAATCTTCCCAAGAGCACAGGGACAACTGTCTAAGATTCAGGAGCATAAAAAGGATTTCAGTTTAGAAATCCACCTTTGAATAACAGATTTATTCTATAGAGCTATGCTAGAGCCAGGAACAGCAACTCTCAATCCTGACCTCCAACCACAAGATAGATCCCCCTTCCCAAGTTTCCATATGCAATGTACAAATAAAATTCATCAGAGGATTCCACTCCTTCTTTTCCAAGCTTACTTTTTTCTCCTTTCCTCAGTTTGATCTCTTGATTTCTTCTAGTCTATTTGCAGTCAAACTGTTCTTTTGCTGTGACAGGACATTTATGTCTCTGAGTTCACACAGTTCTGCAGTTCTGGATTATTTTTTCTTCCCTTTTTTTACACATTTCTAGAAGCCGGTTGTGCCCTACAGAAATGTAACCGGTTTGTCATATGACAGATATTTCTACAGGAATGATAAGTGTTGCAACAAGCATTAGCAAACAAGTCAGAGAGATCACTGGTAATAAAGAAAACCTTTTCTTCTAACCTCTTTGTGACAGCAGCTGTGGTTTCCCAGCAATGACCATGAAGAAACAAGAACCATTTATACCAAGCATTAGCACTGTTCTCCAGTGCTTTCTCTGGAGATGAATAATTAAACTTAAATCTAGGTTACTAGAAGTGCAATCACCAGAAAAGATTAACCACATTAATATCTGATTTTATTTAATGTGTTCCCTCTCCTGCTTCAATAGCTCAGAATGTTCTGCAAGCAGATCCACCTAACAAAAGCAGCTAATGAAGATCTTGAAGAACTGAGAGCTGTAGTAACTTTGGCTCAGTGCCTGGTGCCCCAGGCCATACTGTAGCATTCATTGGCAGTGCTGTGTTCCCAACTCTGCCCAGAGGACAACTGTATTGAAAGAAAACCGTGAAACCTAACCAAAACAATGCAAAACTACCAACATCTTTAGGGCCAGCATAAGGACAAAACAATGTGAATGCAGATACCACACTAAATTCTCTTCTTAAGGAACAACCAGTGCAGCAGAACTGTAAGATCAACACACACAAATACGGATGCAATTTAAAACATGTGTTTTTATTGTTATGTAGACATGGAAAGACAGCTGGGAAAACGCCTGTTACCCATACAGCTGTAGCATGGTTAAAGCAAGAGGAGTGTTTACCAACTGTGCTTGTACCCTGTTAGCTGCTGATAACCAGAGGGGAAAGAGAAATTCCTGATTTGCCACAGCAGTACTTTAAGGCTGCGGAAAGAAGGCAGATGGGCTCTGGGTCCAAGCTGTCTTGCTGAAGAACTTAGTGCTGTGGTATTTTTGTACTGAAATGGCTGTTTACTGGAATTGCTTGATTTGCCATTGGAGATGCTGCAGTAGACCTGTGCATGACCTAAAGAACGCTGAGCTGAAACTGGGGTGGACAGAGGGAAACAATTCTTAACTGTTCTCAGTGAATGTGCTAGTGAATTGATTTTTAAAACAAATCTATGAGGAAGAGTAAAGAAGAAAGCTGTCTGAAAGGAACAAAAGCTATTAAGAGGAATACGAAAGAGAGTACAAAAACCTGAACTAACCTGAGAAAAATGTGGAACATTAACTCTTTTAAAATATTTTAAGAGATCAGGTTTTAACAAAAGTTCTCTGCTCAGGAAAAGTATCACTACACTGCAGACAGATGATCAACACTATGTTTTTTCCATGTTATTCATTAACAGTTTCACCTTGCTCTTTTCATTAACTTGAGGATGCACTGACAACCCAGTGCTTGCTGTTCCAAATCATGTGCAATGTGCTCTTCAAGTAAGTGACCACAGCAGTGACAGCATGCAGATTTTACAGTTTATGGCTGAAAAACATCCTATGTCCCTCGTGTCCACTTTCCTGTTTGAAAGTGCTAGCTCGGTATCAAACTCTTTTCCCCATCCCAAGCACACCTTACCTGTGGCCTTTAGCCCCTTTACAGAGAACAGCAGAGGCTGCCTTACATCAGCAGGAGGTCACGAGCCTTGCCCTGAGGTATCACTTATCCCAAGGGTTACCTGCAAACCTCTCTTCCCTGAGCAAATTTCTCCTTCCCTTGTTGAGAAGTGATCCTTGACACTGTCCATGCTTTTCCTTAACTCACAATTCTTCCCTGCAACATGTGACTGATGGAAGAACATAATTTTTCCTACCTGAAAACTTAGGAAAAAATAAGTTCCTACCTTTCACTTTGGGAAAAGCAGTATATTGCTTACAATGAAATATTACTGCCACCCCTTCAAGGCTTTGAGATCCAAATAAAGAAGAGTACGTTTTTATTCTGCTTTCCCACTTGCTCTGCAAATTCTATGATGTATTGCATTATTGCCAAATCAAAACACATTTATACACTTCCCCATTCAGTAAGCAAGAGAGATGGATACACTACACACAACAAATGTGTATAGTCTTCCAACAAACCCTACAGCTGTTGGAACAACACAGTTGCAAGCAGGCTGATCTGACACCTTTCCATCTTTGTCCTCTGAGACAGAAACAACACCTCCTGTCCAGCTGGAAAATTCTGATGGATTCTGCAGAAATCTGTTGCATTGAACTTTTCCGTATCTACCAGAGCTTTGATTACTTTTTTTGATTACTTCGTTACTCTTCTTACTCTGAAAACTATTGATTCCATATTACTTTTTGCATGGAACTTGACAAAATAAGTTAATTTCTTAGTCCACTTGACCTAAGAAAAGGAAACACAAATCTTATTCATATCAGAGTTGTCTTTCCTGGCTCCTCATAGCAGTGTCCGACTCAGCAAATGGCAAGAATTCTGAGAATATGTAAAACTTAAATGGATGCAGAGATGAGAGAAATAGTGCCAGTGGCCAGTCCTGATGGCCATGACAATAAGCCACGGAGAGCTGAAGCAAAAATCTGTTGGGTTTTTTTCCTTAATTCTTACCTGTCTCACAAAGATCAACACATCAGTGACACCAAACAAGCTGAGTTACATTTCTGTTTAAAGTGTACTATGTCCTTGACTCGGCATGCCTCCTACTTACTATGCAGCACATCTTTCTAACCATAGCTGGACTTCAGATGCCCAGCAGATACTCTTTGTCCTATTAGCGTTTGTGCCTCAGGAACTGAGGTATATAAGGTAACCCATAATTTTTTGCAGACAGGTGTGTCTGCAAAACTACAGAACCTGAGGAGGAAACTTCAAAAGCAGAAGAGCTGCAATATTGGGGGGGTTTAATTATTTATTTAAATTATGCATTAAACCCTGTAAATCCTGTGAGAGTGGCTGCTACGAAAAAAGACTGTTCTCCAGGAACAGATACTTCATGTCCTACAGTGGTAGAAAGCATTTTGCTGAACCTAACTCCCTCATCTAACAAAAGGAGCTAAAGTTCAGTTTGCAAGGCCCACAGTTACAAAATTGTCACTTTCCTTGAGCTTCTCTGTGTCTTTCTGGCAAAAGCAGAGCTGGTTATGAGCATATGTGCCACACACGTCTGTCTTGAACACATTTCCCTCAGAGCCCGAGAGACCAGAACCAGTTTCTTGAAGATTCTTCTCTCATTTTCTGTAAAAAGACTGTGGAGAGGACACTGCCTTTCATACCATGATGATTAACCAACGATGATCTCAATTTCTGGCAATCAGTGAGAATGTGATTCTATACCTTGATCCCTATTTAACTACTGGAACTACTGAGTTGGCACATCCACAGCACAAGGCCAGTGATCCCACTGAACTAACACCGAGTGACCCGTTATGCTGGCCGAACAGCCTGAAAAGACTCTGGGCTTGGTTCTGCAAAATGCTTCATGAATTCTGCTGGAGCCAACAATTGGAGCCACAGCTGGACAGATTTGGCCAGGATAAGTGTCCTGCTCCTACTTTATACATTGAGCAACTGAATCTCAATAACAGTTTTGCCAGTGACTAATATGCAAAATCCATATCAAAAGTGGGACTAACCTCCAGTCCTTCATTACCAGGGTGTCCTCTAATCTACTAAACAACAGCTATTATACAATTTCTGTGAACTGAATCCCTGTCCCAGGCTCATCAGTAAGAGATCCTAATACACTGCTAAAG